TTTCCATAATGTAATGATAAAAATTAAACTTTCATATATTTCAGATTCATTGCACACCAACTGAAATATTTCAGGTCTTTAATTGTTTTAATACTGATGATTATGGCATACAGCTCACGAAAACCCAAAATGCATGTCCCAAAAAATTAGCATATCATGAAAAGTTTCTCTAAACAAGCTATTAACCTAACCATCTGAATCAACGACGTAACTCTAAACACCTGCAAAAGATTCCTGAGGCTTTTAAAAACTCCCAGCCTTGTTCATTACTCAAAACTGCAATCATGGGTAAGACTGCCGACCTGACTGCTGTCCAGAAGGCCATCATTGACACCCTCAAGCAAGAGGGTAAGACATAGAAATAAATTGCTGAACGAATAGGCTGTTCCCAGAGTGCTGTATCAAGGCACCTCAGTGGGAAGTCTGTGGGAAGGGAAAAGTGTGGCAGAAAACGCTGCACAATGAGAAGACGTGACCGGACCCTGAGGAGGATTGTGGAGAAGGGCCGATTCCAGACCTTGGGGGACCTGCGGAAGCAGTGGACTGGGTCTGGAGTAGAAACATCCAGAGCCACCGTGCACAGGCGTGTGCAGGAAATGGGCTACAGGTGCCGCATTCCCCTGGTCAAGCCACTTTTGAACCAGAAACAGCGTCAGAAGCATCTCGCCTGGGACTGCTGCTGAGTGGTCCAAAGTTATGTTCTCTGATTACAGTAAATTTTGCATTTCCTTTGGAAATCAAGGTCCCAGAGTCTGGAGGAAGAGAGGAGACAGAATTCACATTGCTTGAGGTCCAGTGTCAAGTTTCCAGTCACTGGGGTACCATGCCATCTGCTGGTGTTGGTCCACTGTGTTTTATCAAGGGCAGGGTCAATGCAGCTAGCTATCAGGAGATTTTGGAGCACTTCATGCTTCCATCTGCTGAAAAGCTTTATGGAGGTGAAGAGTTCATTTTTCAGCACGACCTGGCACCTGCTCACAGTGCCAAAACCACTGGTAAATGGTTTACTGACCATGGTATTACTGTGCTCAATTGGCCTGCCAACTCTCCTGACCTGAACCCCATAGAGAACCTGTGGGATATTGTGAAGAGAAAGTTGAGAGACGCAAGACCCAACACTCTGGATGAGCTTAAGGCCGCTATCGAAGCATCCTGGGCCTCCAAAACACCTCAGCAGTGCCACAGGCTGATTGCCTCCATGCCACGACACATTGAAGCAGTCATTCATGCAAAAGGATTCCCGACCAAGTATTGAGTGCATAACTGAACAAAATTATTTTGAAGGTTGGCGTTTTTGTGTTAAAAACACTTGTCTTTCATTGGTGGGATGAAATATGCTAATTTTTTGAGACATGCATTTTGGGTTTTCATGAGCTGTATGTCATAATCATCAGTATTAAAACAATTAAAGACATGAAATATTTCAGTTGGTGTGCAATGAATCTGAAATATATGAAAGTTTCATTTTTATCATTACATTATGGAAAATAATGACCTTTATCACAATATGCTAATTTTTTTAGAAGGACCTGTATGTATATTTTTTTCACTTGATTTGACATATTTGGACTAATATGACTTATACGGCAGTGTGACGTTTATGGCGGCAAGTACGGTAAACACAACTTGAATTTGGTCAAGAAAAACAAATACACTTGATAATTGATAATAAAGCTCCAAAGGCTTGCCTTGTCATGTCGCGGAAATACATACCTGTGCTTTGGCAAATTGCTGCCAGGAAATCACCCACGTTTTTCCTGAATTCCAGCCATAGTTTATTTATCCAGTACAGCTACATATTTCTGTTGTAACCTGTTGGCTTCTCGTAAGTTGCATGCTTTTTTATTTTCATGCTTGTGTTGCTTCAAGCGTACAGGCAAGCTGCTTCGTACGTCCTCGTGCCGGTGTGGCCTGAGCTGCCAGAGTTCTCTTTTTGCTCTTTGGCTTTGAACTACTGCCACCAACTGCAGATTAAACCTCCCAAGTACAGTTTTCACTCGTGCTCGGAAAACGTGTGTGGTTTTATTGAGCGGAGAAGACTTGATATTACAGTTAAATGCATTTTTCCAAAAATTTGTAGCATTACTTAAATATTTATACTGTGACGTGAGGCATGTTAGGAAATTTAACAACAAAAGAGAACAAGAAAAAAGCTGCACATCATCTTTTGGTGTTGTAATAAAAAAAAAAAAACGAAGCTGTAAATCAGTTGCTATTTATTATTCTCTTAAATTCTACTCTTATAATACACACTCACACCAGAAGATTGTGTTGCATGAAAGCAGAAGTAATGCTTCGGGTCCCTGGTGTACTGCAGATTTGCAAACTAAAAGAGAAGTGGGCATGTTAAGAGGTTGATGTTTTTTTTTTCTTATCTTCCAGTGAGTTTCAAGTGTGTGCAAAAACGAGGCAGATAGATAGATAGAGAGAGAGAAGTTCTGCCACTCTGTTGGGTCCAACTCTTATTCGTTGGTGGTAAGTGCCGCAACAAAGGGGAGGGGAGTAAAAAGCTCAGTGGAATAAAAGTATTTTGATTGTATAAAACACTTTACATTCTGACTTATGATCTTAGCTGCCCGTTCCTCATATATACTGTTTCACACTCAATTTTCAATCAGTTGGCTGATTTATTTATTTATTGTTTTTCATTTAGCCTTTATTTATACAGGTAGTCTCATTGAGCCACAAGAACTCATTTTCAAGAGAGACCTGTTTAGGGAGCACATGGTGGGGGTTAAGGGCCTTGCTCATGGGCCCAGAGTGGGGCGAATGAGGGTGGGGGCAAGTGTGGGTGTTTCACCTACCCCACCCACAATTTTGATGTTGTCGGGGCCGGGGCGTGAACCGGCGATCTTCGGATCACAGGCCCACCTCTCTATAACCTCTGCGCCACCACTCCCCAAATATATAATTATAATTGTTAGATAATGTCAGAAAGCAAAGCTACTGTAAAACAAACATACCAAGTTGTTCAGAAACATGAGAAAATATGTTATGGGTGGATGAACTCATAGTAACACTTAAAGTTGCATGTAGTCACACTCATAAGTGTGAAACCTCAATAGAACGTCACACCCACAGTGAAACGTGGGGGTAGCGTTATGCTGTGGAGTTGCTTTTATTCAGCGGCAACTCGGGTTTTAGTCAAAGTAGATGGAAATATGAAAAGCTCCTTTTTTAAAATTTCTCTTAAAAAGCTGACAATAAAGAGGAATACATTTTTTAATATAGCATACGTGCGGCAAGTCTGAATTCAAATCAACAAAAAATGGCTTCACTAGAGGTAAATGAAAGTTTTTGGGGACCTCACCAGATTTTACAGTGGGGTGTTCATTCCTTTCCTTTAGGGGCACTATCCTACATATTTTTAATGTTTCTCTGCTCCAACACATCAGATTTGAATCAAAAATATTTATTAGTGAATAATGGGCTTCTGTAGAATGTGAAGTGGTTATTCAACTATTGAATCAGGTGTGTTGGAGCAGGGAAACAAGTAAACCATACAGAATAGTGCCCTCAAGGACCAGGATTGGACACCCCTGATCTAGAACTAAAACTGCGAGGTGTCCCAAAATGTGCTATGCAGACTGGAATCCCTTGGAATCCAACAGATTTTGAGCAATTTTGGAACCAAGCGTGTGCAAGTATTACCAATTCTAGGTGTAACCTGCTGGTAGACTCCTGTAATTAAATCAAGAGACGCTTCATTCAAAAAGTTTCAGGGTTCTCACACTAAGTTCACCATCGTATTTACCGTACTTGCCGCTGTACACATCGCACTGCCATATAGGTCGCATCAGTCCAAATATGTCTAATAAAGTGGAAGAAAACATAAATATGTCGCTTCGCCGTATAAGTTGAGTCTATTATTCGTCACCGCTGACACGTTGCGTGTGTTACGCGTCACCGCTGACAACCCGGAAATGTGGGCCGTTGTAGTGCCAAAAATTGAATGGCTGCCAAATGGCGGCCGCGGGAGCGTGCACGGGAGACCTTTAACAAGAATTTAAGAAGATTAACACTTAAAAACAATTATTTGTTTGCGCGAAATTATAGCAAAGGTGTGTCTCAGTTGAATTTTCCTTAATAAATGCACTTTGACGGTCAAATCAGCTGCATTTCAAAGCCGATTCACGGCCGCGGGAGCACGCAGAGAGATGACTCGCTGTGTATTTCTTCGAAATTTAACAAGATTAACACCTAAAAACAATTCTTTGTTTGCTCAACGTTATAGTAAAGGTGTGTCGCAGTTGAACTTTTCCTTAATAAATTAACTAATGGTCAAATCAGCTGCATTTTGCCTGGGTGGCGCGGCGAAATGCAGATGATTTGACGTTTGCTCCAGGAGTTCTGTTGCGAGACGAAGGTGGCTTGGTATGGCAAGCCAAGTGTCTCATTAATAGCCACTTTTGCCTATTAATGAGACACTTAGCGTTCCATATTAATCGAGGGCCCTCTAGTGGCTGAAAATGGTAGTGTTCCATATTTTCCATGTCAGAATGAATGAAATCATCAGACCTCAGCCAAAAATTGGGTTATAAATATGGGGAAAAACAAAACCAAATGCTTTGCTTCGCTGTATAAGTCACAGGCTTGCTAATTTATACAACAAACTATGACTTGTACAGCGAAAAATATGGAAGTTTCTCTTTTATCCGGTGATTTGTACAGCATATATACTCCAAAAAAGGTGGGAAAATCAAAAGATTATGTTTTATATCACAAAACCAAAGTATGTACAGTTTACATACCCATCATATTAATATGCTTGTGTAGCTTTGTTTTATTTTTGCAGACATAAAACGGTACACATCTTATCATGCAGTGTAATTGTCAACAACAAACTGCGTTAAATGGTTTCATTCACTTAATGCTATTACATCAATGTTCACAAGGAAAACAGTTTCATTGATCTTTTTATTCTGTTCCCACAGTGAGAAGCTGAAGTCCTCCATGTTTTCCACGTCTTCCTAATGTTCAAGACATTTGATTAGAGCACCATGTTGGAGTCCTCAGAGCCCAGCCACGAGGTTGCAGACTGGCTGTCAACCCTCCACCTGTCTCAGTACATCCCCTTTTTCCAGCAGGGAGGCTATCGAGTTCTGGAAAACTGCACGGACCTCACAGACGAGCGACTCCTAGAGCTTACAGTGCTGCCAACAGGCCACCGTAAACGCATCCTTCTAAGTTTGGAAGCACTTGGCTTGAAGCAGCTGTGGAGATGTGGAGATGAAGGTGAAGATGAGGAAAGTCCTGGGAGGGGACAAACGAAACCAAAGCTGTACCCAAGACATGTTTTCATGGACAGAAAAAGGGGGACGTCATATCAGCACAATCAAACAAAGGAGACGAGAGAGAATGATTCAGAAGGAAGTCGGAGCTTACCTGCAGGAGCAGGACTGGCCGTAGACGAAGAGTCCCTTCCTAATAGAAAATATGCTTTTCCTCCCAAACCAGCTCCACGTAACCTCCAGTCCATCCAGACATTCGTCCAGGCACAGACCTGTGGACCAGCCTCAACGCTCTCAAGCAGTAGCAGTGAATCCCTTTCTACACCTGAAATACCCTCAGATTTGGAGGTCTCTTCAGAAGAACACTTCAGTTCTGCTGCTGAAGCCCTGCTCCTGGCAGTGGCTGAGGACAAAGAGGGTGTCCCTGTTCAAATGGTTGACAACTCAATATATGAGAAGCGGCATTCTTTAAAGGATCCCGCAGCTCCACGTCACTCTCGCTCCTACCGGTTAAGGCACCGTCCAGTACCTGAAATACCCAACTCAACCTCTGTGCCTCTTCAAGAGAGGTACTTTATTTGATTTATAGATTGAAGAAATCTTATTTTAAGCGGAGTAGTTAAAACTATGGTTATGCTCTGCCTATGTGTTACAAATGCATAGGAAATTTAAATAAGTATGGGGACTATGACATGTTTGACTTGAATCTCAGGAGAATGCCCTTTATACAGCAACCAGACATCAGGGGCTTTAAAAAATCCTAAGTAAAGCAAAGTTCGTTGTACTTGTTCAGTCTAACTTCAATCAGGCTGTTTCCAAATGTTAAGGTTGTAAATGTACTTTCAGAAATCACTTTCTGGAAGTTTAATTCAAACCTGCCCAGCTGTTCATTAGATATTTTGGAAAAAGGCATAGTTACTGGCAGTTACTTGATTGCTTGCCTTTCATGGTAGCAGGCAGTATTGACAATTAGTTTTAAAAATTTAAAAAGTACTGTATATAGTAGTCCCTCGTTTATTGCGGGGGTTATGTTCCGGCCCCCCTGCAATGAGAGAAAATCCGCAAAGTAGCGACGTTATATTTATTTAAGTATTTATATATATTTAAAGGCTTTAGAAACCCTTCCCACACTCTTGCAATGTTCTAAACTCTTAAACCGACATCATTTTAACACCATACATATATGTAGCTAGTAGCTGCTCTCGGATTTGCCGATGGGTTTGGAGGTCTGTTGCTGGCCCGGTTCCCAGTGGGTTCCGTGCGGCTGTCCTCATGCGCTAGGCATCACAGTCACTGTATGAATAAGGACTGAACCTTTTCCGATCAGATCAAAACTGTCCATCTAGTATCCTGATGCATGCTCAATAATCCAGGTAGTAAAATCTAAGAAAGTTCAATCTGGTCCTCTGGACATTCAAAAAAAAACCAGAAAAAACAAAACGAAGCAAAACAACAAAAAAATGTAGAAACATTTCGTCTTTCATCCGAGAGGGATGCACTCACCACTCTTAGTAAGGACAAAAACATCATCATTCTCCCAGCAGACAAAGGAAGGTGCACAGTGATTTTGAACCAGAAAGACTATCATGAGAAAGTTATGACACTCCTTAGTGACTTAACCACTTATGAACCTCTGAAAAGAGGTCCAGGAAGTGGTTACAAAAAGAAGTTAATAGATTGCCTGAAAAATTTGGAGCAGGACAAGGCTATTGACTGTATTCTGTACCACAGACTGTACCCAGGGGAGGCCACACCTAGTCTGTATGGTTTACCTAAAATCCACAAACAAGGTGTACCTTTAAGACCAATTGTTAGTATGATTAACTCTGTCACTTACAATGTTTCCAAATATTTGGCGTCTGTACTCATCCCTTTAGTTGGCAGCTCAGAACACCACATACAGAACACCATGGACTTTGTGGATAAGGTGAGGGATGTCATCATGGAGACTGATGAAACAATGGTCTCTTTTGATGTCACATCACACTTTACGTGCATTCCTGTTGATGATGCAGTAGAGGTGGTCAGTATAAGATTAAAATCAGACACCACTCTGAGCAGCAGGACCACGATTTCCACAGAACAACTGTGTCAACTTTTGAAACTGTGCCTGCAGTCAACCTACTTCACATATGGGGAGCAATATTATAGGCAGAAACATGGGTGTGCTATGGGGTCTCCAGTTTCTCCTATTGTTGCCAACCTGTACATGGAGGAGGTAGAAAAGAGAGCCTTGACGTCCTTTTCAGGGACACCACCAAGTCATTGGTTCAGGTATGTTGACGACACCTGGGTTAAAATTAAATCTCAGGAAGTCCAACATTTTACTGACCACATCAACTCTGTGGATAAATACATCAAGTTCACACGAGAAGATGTAAAAAATGGCAGGTTGGCTTTCTTGGACTGTGAGGTTTCAGTCTCTGATAGGACATTTGCAAACTGAGGTGTACCGCAAACCCACACACACAGACCAGTATTTGCAGTTTGACTCCCATCACCCTTTGGAGCACAAGTTTGGAGTCATCAGGACTCCGTACCACAGAGCAGACAGCGTCCCCACTAGCTCAGGAGCCAGGCAGAAGGAGAAATCCTACACAAAACAGGCTCTAGAGCAATGTGGATATCCCAACTGGGCCTTCCTGAAAGCAGAGAAGAACCCCAAACAGGACTCCAGTCAGCCATCAGGTGAAAAGGAGGAACCCAGACCCAGACCAGTGGTCATTCCATATGTTGAGGGGGTATCAGAGAAACTGAGACGTTTATTTTCTAAACATAACGTCCCAGTGGCTTTTAAACCCCAAAATACATTACGGCAAAGACTGGTTCATCCCAAAGATCCAGTCCCCCGGCACAAACAGAGTAATGTTGTGTATGCTGTTCAGTGTCAGGAGGGTGATCAGTCTTACATCGGGGAAACTAAACAGCCACTGGCCAAAAGGATGGCCCAGCACAGAAGATCAACATCATCAGGCCAGGATTCTGCGGTCTACACTCATCTCCAGGCCAGCGGTCACTCTTTCAGCCATGAAGATGTTCACATTCTGGACAGAGAGGAACGATGGTTTGAGAGAGGAGTAAAGGAGGCCATCTTTGTGAAAAGAAATCGTCCATCATTAAACGAGGTGGAGGACTCCGTGTTCAATTGTCCCCCTCTTACAATGCTGTGATTGCTAGTATCACTCAGCCTCCTGTGAATAGTAAACAGCCTTCAGTGTGCTAATGATCCATTGTTAGGCTGATGGTCCTTCTTGACCACGTGATCAGCTGGTTTTGGTTGTCAGCAGCAAACTGGTTGATCCACTCTGAGAAGGTGCTATTTAAAAGACTGAGCTGAAAACAGCACCTCAGACTGAGGAAGTCTCTTGGATGAAAGACGAAACGTTTCTACATTTTTCTTTTGCTGTTTTGCTTTTTTTTTTTTTTTTTTTAATGTCCAGAGGACCAGATTTAATTTTTTTAGATGTCTGTCTAGTATTTCAGCAGAGAGCAAACGGGGCTTCTGGGTGCGGCACTGTTGGCTTCTGGGAAATGTAGTCATTATGAGTGGGGATACAGAGTAGGCTTATTGAGAGAAAACTACAAAATGGCGGTGCTTGTTCCTAATATTTTATTTTTCCGTTAACTTTTTACTGGACATTATCCCGTACTGTCCCAGTCACATGGGTATTATTAAAGTTGACAATCGTGTCGTGTACAATATTTATTTTTTTGTCCAATCTTACTATGAAAAACCGTGAAAGAGCGAGTCCGCAATGGTCGAATCGCGAAATAGCGAGGGACTACTGTATAATAAATTTTTCTTCTGAAAAACAGCCAGTATGTCTTTTAAAAAAAAACAACTAAAAAAAAAGTACAGTTCCTGTTTTATTTCTTTAAATACACCTATTGTAGTCTTTTGTGTTTTTTTTTTTCCCCCTGCAATAATGTTTTGCTTGTGTCTGTATGTTTGTTTCTCTCAAGCATCTCGCATATCATTGGCCAGATTTAAATTGGATTCAAAAAGCAATTACTGAATATACATGCACAACTTTTTTTCAAAGTCAACACGGTTCCAAATGTCTAATTGATCTTAGCCAACACAAAAATGTCTACATGCTTTGTTGTGGTTGTAGCTGAGAGTTATCCTTAACACATTTTCTGAGTGCTAATACATGAGATTGCACAAAACGTCATTTTCAAGGTTTGACCAAAACATCTTTAAGTCCATCTCGGGCACAAAATGCAATGAGCATTTTGGCAGTCCTTCTACAACAGCTAGGTTTTTATTTTCTCAACAGGAAAGTGACTTGCTATAAAATCTATTCTTAACTTTCAATTTGCAACAACTTATTTTTTTAAGATATTCCTTTAAGTAGAGTCACTCTGAAGAGGAACCACAAAGCAAAAAAAAAAAAAAGGTGAAAGCGTGTAGGTGAAACAAAGCATACATTTTTACAGCTACTGAAAATATGGCATGGATTTTTCCTTCAGATTTTCTCATCGAGAGAATTCAATCCCATTCATGCGATTACTTCATTGGATCTTTGAAATGTGAAACTAAGTTTGAGAGTTCCAGTGTTGAAGGTCTTCATGCTTGTATGGTGTTAACTGTTTTTCCCTTCGTGCTGCACTGACGGTTCTAATCCACAGACTTTTTTTTTTTGCCTCTTCCTCAGGAGCGCACAAACAACCAGCCCTGAACACCTAACCGGCTCAGAGCATCCCACCAGTGCAAACAGCGCTCAGAAAGGTATACACCGACTTTCAGCTGCATCCGCCTTTATCTCCGCTATGAATATTTCATATGGCGGTGGAGGCAGCCTTGCTGTTGTTTGCCCGAATGAAAGCAGGAGGACAGGAGATGAGGGTGGCGCGTGGTTGGGGTGTTCGTAGGCTGCGCGCCATGGGAGAAGCGCTCATCTCACTGGGCATATGCTCTATTACATCCCCATTCCTTGGGGAGACCCCGGTATATGTATTCTTGTCGCGCTGCTTTTCAAAGTTTTTTTTAGAAGTTGTTTAACTTTCCCAACAACAATCGAGCTTGTCGTACAACCGGTGCAAATGTGGTTTTGAATTGTTCCCTTGCCGAATTGATTGAGCTCAGTCAGAGGGGCTCTCCTGGGATTGAACACCGCCTTTTCATGACTAAAAAGCATGTAACAAAACGCCAAATGCCGTGAATCTTATTGGGGCGATTTTTCATGACATTTGACACTACCCTATCAAATCATTAAATTTTAGTCCTTTTTTTTTAATCCTTAATCTGCCTTTATTTTCTTGTTTTCTACTCCCCCTTCCCCCTCTCATTGTTATGTGTACCTTTACTACAATGCTGGGGTCTCCTGGCAGGCCTTGTTTTGCCAACTTTTTCCTCTGTGTGGAGCAAGATAGGCAGCGAGAACAGACAGAAAGGCAACACAGTGAAGTGTGTTGGGAGGAACGAAGAAAAGATAAATGCAAAACAGGCTGAGGGAGACGGAAGAGGAGGAAGAGCCAAGGAGATCCCCGAACAGGGATGCAGGGAGCTCTAGTCTCGACTAGTTAAAATTCCCCTCACAGCACGGCCTAGCAAGGCGCTATTTGACATATGATTTCACCCGAGCATATTTAAAGTTTATTCCAAGATGAGATTTGGAATATACGGAAAACTGCAACGTTGTCTCACATAATGATGGTCGATTTCAGCCCAAACTTACTGCTGGAGGTTTGTAAAAATGTACCTCCTTTTTTTTTTCTTCGTTCTAAAAAGCCTTTTTTTTCCTTCCCTCGCATATAAAATCTTATTCGGGAAACATTTCTCTGTCCGGCACTTTTCTCAGCAGCCCCACAGCCCTGTAAGCCTTTTGATTTAGTGGCACACATACATAAATCCTGAATGGCTGACTGTACATACACTGCTCGGTTTACACGTTTTTTAGGAGGGATTATCGTAAATGTGATTATTTTTGTGTCGTATGAGGATAAAAATAGAAATGTTAAAATGGGGACAAAATAATAAGAAAACTCATGTGATGGCATATTTACATTTTTTATTTTGTGGATGTTTCAGGAGAAACTATGCAACTATTAAAATTGTATGGTTTCAGCCATTAAATATTAATTTGTTTTTAAACTCTGGTTAGCTAATTGAGTGGGTGTTTGAATCTTAAGTAATCTAATTATTCATTATGTCTGCTTTCTTAACAATAAACACACGTTTTATTGGATTTCTACCAGTTCTCAATGGTGCCTCTGAACACGTCTTGATACAAAACGGTTTTCCTGAATATGTTTTTGCACAACAAAAAAAGGCAAACATTTACTAAGTTTATTTTGTACGAATTGTTTTTATTTAAATTCTTCCACTTCAAGTTTCCAGAACAGTCTTTAAAGTGATAGTTTAGCTATTTTTTTTTTTTAATGTGTGAACCTGTAGGAAGGCTATCAATTAATAATATTTCACCTGTTGTAGGTAACTCTTCTCAGTTTGGAGAAAAAGAGTTTAAGCTAAAAGTTAGTCTGATCGTAGTTCAAGGTTATTTATTGTCATTCGCATCACATGTGGTACATGTGGTGGAACAAAATTGTGTACTCAAGGTCCCAGTTACAGTAGTTCCTCGTTTATCACAGGGGTTTGGGGCCACACCCCCTCGCGATAAGTGGAAAAACCGCAAAGTAGGTATACAGTAGTTCAAGTTCAAGTAAACTTTATTGTCATTACCATCTCATGCGGGACATGAGGTGGAACGAAATTGTGTACTCAAGGTCCCAGTTACACCCAAAAATTATCAAAAGATCAGGATGGAACAACTCTGATCTCAAAAGTTTCATGTCTATTTGAGTAAACACTGTTTTATAAACGTCGTTATTTTTACATTACAATATTATTTACATAAAATTCTGGGATTATTTCCAAGCACACATACACATAGCAGCAGCTAGTTGTAGCACATCTGGCACTACCTAGGGGCAAATATATTATTTCTGTTGCAATAACCATGTAACGTTCAATTAACAGCAATGTGATGGTCTATAAAATACCATTTGCTTGAACCACCAGGAAATTCTTGAGATTACAGTAGCCCCTCGTTTACTGCGGAAGTTACGTTACGAGCCCCCCCGCTGTAAGTGAAATTCTGCCAAGTAGCTAGGGACTAGGGTAGTTGTAAGATGGCAGCAATCCACTTAGGTCTTGTCCCAGCTCAGACTAGACATTAGCTTTTCAATCCGGTCCAGTTAACCATTTCTACATTTAACATTTGAAATATTAGTAATGGTCAACACAACATTTATCAGTTTCCTTTAAATTCAGGGAGCCATTCACTAAACATGTAAGTTCATATCACAGCAGTTTTATCTCCTCCATGCTCTACATGAGAGCGTTCAGAAACAAGAGTTTAGTCTTCACAAAATGACCTGCAACGTGTTGACCCTGAAGACTTAACCAGTCTTCTCTCAAACTCTGAGCTGATGGCTGTATCAGGGCCAGTACCCAGACCGCCTCTTGACAGAGTCTGGCCAGGAGCAGATAAAGAAGCATCTGAGAGAAACAAAAGCAGATGCCAGACATGAAGCCAGTGAGAAAAAGAGTGGAATGGACAGGAATAGAGTACAGTGGCGTCCGGCGGCCCTTGGAGAGACATGCAAGTGGCCTGAGGGTCAGCTGATAGAAGATGATTGATGGTTGCTATCGGCCTACTATGCTTGTCCGTGGAGAGGATCACAGTATTGGAGTGCATTCTATCATCAAGTGTACTGACCTCCATACTGCTTACAAAACTGAGTACATGCCCTTCATGCCCTTCTGTAATGGCCCACATTGCTTTGAAAGGGTTCTATAATGCTTAAATTACACATTTCCTTCTGTAAGAGTCAACTCGTTTGTCTGCTTTATGTCTCTGTCTCGCGGCATCTTTAAGTTTCAATCTTTGCACTGTCTGAGTGTGTATCTGTCCATCCACCAGTGTCTGTCGACGTGTGCGTCTTGCCCCGTGGTGGACACTTCTGGTCCTCACAATCCTCACGAGAGGCCGGTGTCATTTTTCACAGTGACAGGAAGCGTCCCACGCAGCATAGCTCCAGGTCTCCAGACTAATAGCGTCTGGCTCAAGTCTTTCTTCTTCCCCCCCTCTTCATCCTTGCTTTCACCAACCACAGTTCCTGCAGGAACGAAGGCAGAGAAAACGGTGTTGGCAGCGACTCGGTTTTCTTTGAGACAGACTTAGGAAGATCACACTCCCATTAGCGCATGGAAGAGGGCCGAGGCGGAGAGATAGACATGCTAAGGAAAAAAAATTAATTGGTTTGTGCCTGCATGGATCAAGGGCTGAAACATTTATTCTGATCCGTGAGTTAGTTTAATGAAAGAGCACTGTAACATCTAAGCAATTTGGAATTTTAACTGGAACAATCCGGTTAAGTTGCTCACTTTCAGGTTTGGTCGTTTTGTTTTTCCAAGTTTCAGCTCTAACAAAACCGTGTTTTTTTTGTTTTTTTTGTTCGTTATAGCTCCACTTCAAAGAACATTGTCACCTATCGTTCCCTACGGAGAAATATTTCTCTTCAACAACCCCGAACCTGCTCCGGTAAGACGGTGCGCACACTCCCACGCTTGGGCAAGCGGCAAAGGAGGAACCAGCTTTTCTCATATCTTCGGTGGTATCTTTTGCTGTTTCAGCCACAGTCAGACCCAACTTCCCTCTGTGTTAATGATGTCACAGTGAACACATTGCAGAGTAGAAAATGTGCTTGTTTCAGTTTGCCCTTACAGGTTAATTGAAATGTCACCTCGCTGCTACAGTTAACATAGTTTAATGCGGCAACTTGATAAGAGTGTCCGTCTGAAAGATGGACACTTTCCTTTTCATCTGATGCTAATCTCGTCTGTTTTGTAGGAACAAGGTGCTAAAGAAGGGCGGCAGAGGGGGTTTAAGGCGAGGATGAAACCAAAGAGGAAGAGGTATTGTATATTGATCCAATACTGGTTCTCCACATAGTGTAAATAACACAAATTTCGACGTGCCTAATAAAAAGCATTTCTATGTTTCTGCCGTCACAGCGTAAGATACGTTGCTATAAGTGTTAATGATGTTCATAATAGTGTGAATGCTAATGAAGTATTCACACTTCCGTGATCCATTTTTCTTCCGTATGTTTTTCAGCATCTTTCTCATTCCGCAATTTTTGTGATTTCAACAATTCATTATCAAAACGTTCAGCTTGTTCAGGAGAAGTGTGCGATGACTTTTGGTATTGGTGCAATTTTAGCTTGTTGAAATATTTAGCCTTTTCTGCCACTTTTCTTCTCAAAGGAAATGAATTGAGCTAATTTTACATCCTACAAATCTTTAGATCTGTTTACAACCTTTTACTGCTCCTTTCACATTTTGTTCTGCTTCAGCTTCTTTCAGCTGCCGTGTGCAAATTTTACAATTTTCCAGCTATTTTCAGCTGCTTTTTTCAGCTATTTTGTGCTCCTTTCGATTGTTTCTGCTAACTACAACATTTTTGTGCTTCTTCTAACTTCTTTCGGCAAGTTTCATATTTTTGTTCTATTTCAGCTAGTATTAAGCTGTTTTTATTCTAATCTTAGCTTTTTCAGCTAATTCCACATTTTTGGCACTCTAATCTTTCAGCCTAATTCAGCAAAAATGTGCTCTCTCCACTTCTTCATACCTGGATGATGTCAATTATATATATAAAAAAAACACCACTTGACCTTATTGTTTAGCCAATTGAACAGACTCACTTTTCTAACATTTTTTCTTGTTTTACATTTGTATTGTATAACATTACAGCTGTCCTGTATTGGTTTGCTAATTCCATACTACCTCTGGAATTGGCAAGGTAGTTTTTAGAGCTCGACCGATATGGAAATTTTGGCCATCGCCGATACGATATTGGGAGGGGAAGGTTAATGCCGATAACCAATATAATGACTGAAATTTTTTAACTCCGTCTACCCCCAATAATCTAAGTAAACAGCTACTTTTAAACCTGTTTTAGTCCTTGAAGTTTTGAAACGGTCTTCCTAACGTGCATTCACATTTTCTATCCTTCACTATTCACCATAAAGTTATCAAGTGCATTAGAAAACATAAATTTGAACTAAGAAACGCCCTTCCCTGTTCATAGTTTGAACAGTCTCATATGGTGAAGGCCTAATTGCTTTTGACCGCACCGGTGGTTATTATTTTTTTCTTTGCAGAGAAGTAAAGATTTCAGACAACCAATGCATTTCATTGAGGGTGACGAAGTTAACGTTACTAACACTGATATATTTTACCTCTGCTTTAGATTTATTGTCCTGAATAAAGATTTACAAAGCAATAGCTACGCTAGGTTGTCTAAATTTTAGCTTGCTAACTAGAAAGGCACACAGCTAATGACAAGCGGGTTGGAGGATTGAAGAGAATGTATTGTAGATTTAAAAAAAATTTTTTTACAGATCATAAAAAAAACCCCTTATCATTCTCTGTTCTGCAAAATACACTCCAAAGTAACGCTCGCTGCTTCGGCTGTAGTGAAAGTGAAACTTAAAGTGAATGGCCATGACCTCAAAGTAGCCCGCATGCGCCCTCTTCTGGATACATTGTACAGTTGCATGTTTTGCCAGTAAGGATACGGCTTGTTCCCATTTTTTGTATCCGTACAGAATGGCAACAATTATCACAGATACTGATATTTCCCCAAACGCCTATATTGCCGTAAAATATCGGCCCTACTGATTTATCGGTCGGGCTCTAGTAATTTTGTCTTTAGACTATTTGACAAAGTTAATAATGTCCATTTTTCTTGTGCAGAAAAAAGTCGAAAGAAAAAGAGTGTCCAATGGGCTTGACTGTGCCGGACGAAGATGAATACTCCACAGTGAACATGTTGCCTCAGACCATTATGGACCAACGTTTCTCCTCAGTCCCTGATGTCGCTTCTGTTGGTTCAGCGTCTGCTGTTCCTAAACACGAGTCTCTGATCATGGTGGACTGTGACCTCTACTCCCAGCGTGCAGATGTTCTGACGAGCATCGCCAAAAGAGAACAGCCTGATATTTCTCCTTATGCATGTTTTTACGGAGGCCCCAAACACCAAGTGCTCAAAGTGGGCTGGCTGGACAAGCTGTCCCCTCAAGGGTGAGTTTGACTGCAAAGTTCTTTGTGTGAATTTTAAACGTAAAGTGAAAATTACAAAATGGCTGCGTTTGTCATGTTTTTTTTTTAAATTAACTTTTTATTCCATACCGTCCCAATCACATAATATTAAAGTTGACAATGGTGTGTCGTGTACAATATTACGTTGAAAAACAGCAAAAGAGAGTCCGCGAAAGTCGAACCACGAAGTAGCAAGGGACTACTGTATACTTAAAGTTAGGGATTAGCAACAAGTATAAAACTAATATTTCAATTTGTTTTTCTAACAATACGCAACACGTTTTGCAAAATTTCATACTTGATTAAAGTCACTTTCTCAATGTTGAATTCAGTTACATTACTATTATTAGAAAATTACTAGGATTACTTGAAGTTAAGGCATACTTATGTATACTAAAACTAAAATCTCAATATTTTGGGCCTTTTCTTGTGTTGCACATAGCATATCACTACATAATAACATCAGGTTTAGGTCAATATTTTGTTTAATTTGACCACACATCGCCCCTTTCTTTAGTGACTGGAAAATCAAGACAATTTTTCTCCAGTTTTAGGCATTTTTTATACATTTTGTTCTTTCCCCTGTTCCCTGTGTGCTTGTTATTTTTCAATATTTTCAACTGACGGTGCCAGAACCAATGCAGCTCTGCATATTTCACTTTACATTAACAAAAGACAAAAGGAAGGAAGATGGGTGTTCACCTTGTGGTGCTGAGATTTACAGTATACTTTTTTTAAAATTTAATTTGGTCTCCTTGGCAAAACTAGATTTTCTTCTCAAATTTTCTCTGCGCACTACATCCATCACTGTTACCATCTCCGTGTTACAGTCTCCTTTATCACCTGATTTGCTCGGGTTTGGCAAACTGCCCTTGGGCTGTTGAATATTCAAACAGGACGCGACCATTTGTTTTGATTATGACGCTCGACAGCTGTTGATACGACTCTTGACATGTATGAATCAGTAGGCACTTATCATCATATTTAACTCAACCTTTGCACCTTTCACTGCAGAAACTGCGTTTTTCAGAGGAGGTGGGTGAGATTTGATGGCGACAGTCTGGCCTACTACAACAACGACAAGGTAAGTGCAAAAAAACGCACACCCCAACAGCTGCCGAAGCTTAAAATGTGCCCAGCGTCATTCAGAATATTAAACATTCCTGCCGCCCTTTGCACGGTCACATTAGCAAAATCTGTTTCCCCTCATCAGAACACTCTTCACTAAGAGCAGTGAAGCCAAATTCTAAGTGTTCCCTCTTTTTCTAATCCCTCTCATTGTCATCGCCATTAGCCTGGCAGAGTTAGAAATGGGGGCAAGGACAGAGTAAGAACTGTGACGGTGCAACGCTCCGTGCCCACCCAACCGTACAGTAAAGTACATGATGTTGGCAACTGACCAGACCACTACAAAAGAATGACAGAGGGGTAAAGCTGTGGTAAGGAAGGCCTCATCTCATATTGCCTTCATCAGCATTTCTCCATCCACTGTACTTTTCTTCATTCTCCCTCTGTTTGACAGCTGAGTATGAAGTTTGGCCTCCCTCAGTGGAAGATGGCGATGAGTCGAGGTGGGATGAGGGTAGAGGAGCAGCAACGGAACTCAGTGGTTAAATGCACGAAAAATAGCATTTTAACTTTACATGTTAGACTTGATGACATATTTTAATTAATCTCATATTGACATGTTTACAAATGTTTAAGTTGGTTTGTATTAGTCTCTTAAAATATTTTTTACAGTGTAAATTATTAATTTGACCTTCTTTTCATATTCGATCTAACATCAGGGATTGAAGAACACATTTGAAATGAGTGGACCATAACGATGATGCAGTAGTGTAGCTAACACCCTTGTGAATTGGATAACTTCAAAAATAAGCTTGTGCCAACTTCCATTTTGGTCTGTGGCTGCATCTAGGCGTATGTCGAAAACTGGGTTGCCATGTCAAAATCTAAGACCACCACCAGATATATGTGTAAAGCAGCCACCCCAAACATTTAAGGAAATTTTGTTGTCTAGTTTTTATATTGATTAAAAGTATAGTTTCCTCAAATGATTGGGGTGGCCGAAGATTAATCTATGGTGGCCAAGGCCACCACTGACTACCCCCTAGCTCCGCCACTGCACCTAGTTGTGAATAAAATTGCTCCCTTCGGTTGCCAGGATCTGTCACTCTGCACTGCCTCGAACAAGCAAATACAAAAAGAAAACCTACCTCCATTCTTCTACACAGTGTAACTCATACCCACTTGAATATCTTACACCAAAAATATTAAAGTTTACTTTGTTTACTCTGTTCAGTTCCAGTCCAGAAAGACTGTAATATCGATAACTACAAATATTCACTTCAAATCCCTCAAGTTTGTTAATTAATAAATATTTTATTTAACAGGGAATATCCCATTGCGATGCATCTATTCTCCTAGGGAGTCCTGCTTAAAAATATATAAAAAAAAAAAAAAAAAAACGAACAAAAAGAAAACGCATGTAGGAGTTCCATAAAAAACTTTTTAAAAAATCATAAATTTGAAAGAACAACTTTGAATGTTGGTGTAATGTAAAATAAAGTAAAAATAGAAGATTGGGTGAAATAAAAAGAAAATACAAACATTACCAACTAAGTCCATAATGTTTCAGTATCGGTATAAAAGTGACGTCAAATAATTTCAGTGCAGTTCTCAAAATACCATAAAAATGTCTGAATTGAGCAAAATGTCTGTAGGCTTTGAGACCCAAAAGTACTGTGTAATACTAAAAACTGCAGATCAAATTGTGTATTTACTTGTCTTATTTTCTAAAATCTGTTGTGACATTAATTTAATAAAAGGAACTCTTAAGTTATCCCTTAAACATTTACAGTAGTCCCTCGTTTATCGTGGGTGATCTGTGCCATGAAGCCCTGCGATAAGGCTGCGCTCTTGGCCTCGCCCATTTTGCTGCAGAGCGAAGATATGATATGTCGCAGGAGGAAGCTTCTGCAGCTGTGGGCTGCACACAGGTGCAGCAGGTGCTAAATAATTTAAAATGTACTTTAAATAAAATATCCATGCAGATCGTGCGGCTCATCCATCAATCAGCCAATTGTGTGTCATGTCCAATCTTACTTTGAAAAACCGCAAAGTAACGAGTTAGCGAAAAACAAAACACAGGATAACGAGGGACTACTGTACTTCTACCAGATCTGGGCACGTTGTTCAGCTTCGTTGAGTGATCATTATTCTCATTCCTTTTCTTACATGACATGGAATTCCTTTAACCAATTTTCTGTAGCTTCCTGGAAATGTCTTGCAGCCAAGAGAACAAATGAGTTAGCAGGTTATGCCAGTATCTCACTGGGCTGTGGCTGTAGCAGACCGGTTGGTGAACTGCATTTGTGAGGGAGCTTTTAAAATCTTTTGAAATGTTTGAGGGAGGTCATTTTCCTGTGCGAGTCCAAGAGGCTCGCAGCTTTATTGCGTTGAATTTTAAATTACTATCAAACAACTTGAGCAAGAAGTGTAAACTTTAAATACTTTTTCGATTTTTCTACCTGGATTACTGAGCATGCATCAGGATAAACTTTAGATAGTTGCAGTGGTATAACGGGTGTCTCAAACCAATTTTATTGTGCATTTTTGTACCCCGTCACAGAGTGAAGAGGGAAACTGGAAATAGCTTCCATTCATCCAATCGTCCGGTTCATCTTGTGAACTAGATCACAGTGGTTCCCAACCATGGTCCTTGAGGAACACCATCCTGCATGCTTTGGTTGTTTCCCTGCTTTGGCACACCTTATATGAATGAATTGGCAATTAATAGACTTCTGCAGAACTTGAGTAAATAATTAAGTCACTGAATCAGGTGTGTTGGAGCAGAGAAACAACAAACATGCAGGATGGCGTTCCTCAAGGACCATGGTTGGGAACCACTGAGCTAGATAACGTGAAAAATCGGTTAAGTACCAATTTCTATTTTGGTGTATGGCTGCATCTAGGTATTAAAAAGGTCACTATCATAAATTGGTTTGCTGCTTTGAAATTCAAGATGTCTGCCACCATACGTGCATATATGTTAACTTTGTGAGGTAAAAGGAACGAGATAGTGTAGTGATAGTTCAGCCGATTTGGGACTAGAAAGTTGCAGCTCGACTCCCCGCCATGCCCACATCTCGTAGTGTCCCTGAGCAAGACACCTAATCCCTAATTGCTCCCTGGACACTTACATAGCTGCCCAGTGCTCCACCTGGGTGCATGTCATGTGTGATGGGTTAAATGCAGAAAACTAATTTCGTCATAGTATGGGAACATACAATGATGACAACACATAGCACTTGCATAATACTTGGGAATCCTGGTTGATGCACATCTGTCAAAGTCACATGTCAAACTTGATAAAAGAAACTGAAATTAAAACTGGGTTTCTTTTTCAGAAATAGATCTGTTTAACTCTGGATGCTAGGAAACTCACTGTAACTGCTACTTTCCTTCACTTCACTGACTACGGTAACATTATTTACATGAACGCTCCTACAAGCTCCTTGCAGATGTTGGATGCTGCCTATCACGCTGCGCTAAGATTCATAACTGGTTGTAACCATCACCGTGCTCTGTACTGGTTAACTGGTCATCATTAACTTCACACAGACTCGCTTATTGGTACATTTTCATCTTTAAATCACTTCTTGGTCTGCTGTCTTCATATATCTCCTCCTACATGTCATGTCGTCAGTGCAGCGACAGCGTGCCCTCTCAAGACATAATTACCTGCAGCGTCCCCTCAGTGCGGACTGTAGTCGGCAAAAAGGCCTTCTCTTACTCTGCTCCTTTAACTTGGAACACCTTGAAAAAGGAACTGAAGCTGTCAACGTTGATCTCTCTAAGGAATTTTATACTAGTGTTAAGTTCAATTCAAAAATTAACGCAGACATGTTCCTGTTTTTAGTATTTTACCCCGTTTCATAACGTAGTTTATTTTTTTGTTTTATGTCACTACTTTTATTTACTTTTATACGCATTTTATGACCGTTTATTGTGAGTACCTTCTCTGTGGTTTGTCTAAAACAGCTCTTGTAAATGAGTCATTGTGACTCAAAGAGACTAGCCTGTATAAATGAAGGTTGAATGAATAGTATAAAACCTTGGAAAAATAGGCATAAAAATAAGCTGACTTCTATCTTGGTTTGCGGCTGCATCTTTGTATAAGAAAAGGTCCCTGTCAAAAATTGGGTTGCTATATCAAAATCCAAGATGGCCACCATTGGCCATGGCTCTGCCATTGCGCCTGGTGGTGGATAAAATGGTTCCCTCTGCTCGCCAGGATCCGTCACTTTGCACCGCTTAAGCAATCAAAAAACCCTAACGATCCTCTATTGTGAGGAGTGATAGGGCAATCTGCATATGTACCTAGCTTACCTCAGCTTTAAAACTCGAACCCCCCCCCACTCTCTGGTCTTTGAATTGAGAAAGCTCCTCGGATGAGAAGCGAAACGTCTTCCGTTACAAATGAAATCCAGTTTTTTTTTCTTTTGAAAACCTACCTGTCTTCCTATACACACTTGAATATTTTGCACCGAAAACGTTAAGTTTCACTTTAATTCCCTGATCATTTCCTGTCCAAAAAAACATTAATCTTAAAAACTACAAACAACTGCTGTTCGTATCCCTAAGCGACGGGGGACCTGGGCCAGTTCGCAGCTTGCAAACAGAGTTCAAGTGAAACGATAAAGGAAAATTGCACATTTGCTAACAATTTTTAGTTGCCAACTTATCAACAGCCCTCAAGCCACTGAGATGCTACACTTGTGACACTGGTAGAGTAGTACTGGTTTGTAGGATTAGAGATGGAGGGATGAGGACTGCGCAGCTGGATTGGACTAGTTAATTAGATTCTGCCGATGCAGCACACGCAGTACTATCATGTTCTGGAGCGCTGACAGAACAGCTTGTTGGAGAAGCAACAGAACAAACAACATAAAAGCCAACGCTGGTTGAAAACCAAAGCAGAGGTGGGACTGTTAGCTACAGCGCAGGCTGGAGACTGAATCTTGTTGGCTTAATCAGAAAAAAGCAGATGCAGGAAAAAAAGAAAAAAAAAACAGATTGGCG